CTTGGAGAAGACACCTCCCATTGAACTCAACACCAATGAAGCTTATGGACCTATATCAAAATAAATTCTCTCTATTCATGTCTGTATTTCCCACACTCTTTCCTACTAACAACACTGAAATTCCCACTATTTCCTAGAATAACATGCTTGACTCTCTTGTCAACACATCTTAAGTTCTATGTAGGGAAGGCGCGGATAAAATCTCATGAGATATTAAACTTAACAACAACATAATAGCCCTAAAAACAGACTAGCGGGCCTATTATAGCTACATGCCCAAAACACTGTCTTCAGCACTCCACGATTAATTCCTCAGCAATTTTTCATGTCATCAATAAATATTTTTCAGTAGCTAAACCAACTTGCAAAGATGTAGGGATGGGGATGGGATTATGATAAACTTCTGTCTTAACGTATAGGCACCATATTTTTCTTGTTTCGCTACATCCCAGTCACCATTCATTGAAGATCTTCCGTCTCCTTCATCCTCTGCATAGACAACCTCTCCATCATCATGCATCTCCTGAAAAATGTTGTTGTTTTCCCAATGTGTATTCCGGGAAGATGCGGAACTCTCACCATGTGACTTCAAGGGTTAATCACTGATCTTAGTTTCTGCAGAAATTTTGCAGACAGACCTGTTGCTAGGCTGTTTGTCTAACTGCAAGTAAAAGAACTCCAACCCCAACCCCTGGTTAGTCTAAGTCACAGATTTACAGAGTGTGATGTGAGATTGTGTGTACAATTTGTAGGTGATGTAGGTGTGACTGAGGCTGTTAACCCGACTATAGATTCAGATGTCATGTACATAGCAATCGGAGTAGGAGTTGGTGCAGCTCTCCTGGTGGTGGTGACTGCTACAATGATTCTGACAGCGTGGTGTCTTGTGAAGAAAAACAGGCCTAATAGTGGTATGTACAATATTTACATAGACTAAAGTGAGGTGATGTGGATTGTCTGTTCCCTCCAGCTGTGGTGAAGAACTGAAAATTCTTGGGTAAGTCTCACTGTTTTCATAACATGTCTCTGCCACCTCGCCTCTCTTCCTCCATGTGTGGTCCAAGTTCTCAGACCAGTAAAGGGTGTGGTGATCCACCAGAGACCCCAGCCCCAACAGCACCAGAGACTGAGACTGACAGTACTCGTCCTGATGTCCTCCCTCCTCTCTATGATGACATCAATACCCTCACTAGAGAGGTGTTTCTCTTTCAGCTCTCTTTTGCTCATCTAATGGAACTGTATGTCCACACACACAGAAGAAGGACAAGCCACTATCAACGCCTATGTACCATGTTTTGGAGGGTCCCACTCTTGTCGATTCGACACCAGAGACACAGGAACAGGAGGTATGCACACTGTACATTGATTCATCCAGCACCTGTACACAAACTTTCAATCGTTCATTTTATTAACTTACAATACCACTTTCACCGCCAGAGTTCAGTGACAGATATTCCACTTTACTCTGTGGTGGACAAGAGTAAAAAGAAAAAGAAGGCTACTGTGCCGGCTGATCCAGTTAGAGATGTGAGCTACTTTGGCTGAAATGAGGGCATCTATAGTTGTAGTAGAAACTTGGGGCGTAAGGTCCATATTGCCTTCATTATACCTATTTTGATGTAACTCTATTTTTCGTTTTATTTCCTAACAGTGTAGCTACAAACCCTAGATTATCCTCAATATTGGTCAGGGTAGAATAAAATAAACAAGGCTTCTGCATTGTGTCTTTCAAGTCAAAAGCAGTCCATGGCTACTGCACATGTTTCAAATGTATATGTACAAATGACACATTCGACATGAACCAATACTATGCAGCTGCTACATTTTCCTGCTCCATTGTGTGTGTATGTGTGCACAGCAGGAGGAGGAGAGAGAGGAGGATAAGCCTGACAAACAAAACACTTAGTGTAAAGTGAGAGTCATCCACATGATTTACAACTTTGTAATCCAAGTCACAAGGTATCATCAACTGAACATCATCCGCTCCATTTTTATTTGCATCGGTTATAGATAGTTCAACTCCACTGGTGTGTGTGTGTGTAGTCTGGTTAGAGACAATCATGTGTACCTTGATCACGTCAGTAACCCTGGCTTTCTAACTTGAACCACACTCGAATACGTGTCAGTTGTAGTATAAAGTATTGATGTGGAAGGACTTATCACTGTATACAGTATATACCTGTTTTTGCTTTGAGTAAGCATCACAACTGAGTTTGCAGAACAGTGCATTAAACGACACAAACCAAGCCCATATACAGTATCCTTTACTTTTCACTGTTTGTGCTTCTTTACTCAAACACATCTCACACACACAGAGATGTGGGAAGCAGTGTGTGGCACTTTCATTTTTATAGAGCTGTTTTACAGTGTAACGCCAATGCATACAAGTTCTGCCCTACCTGTCCATTGCAAAGCTGGGTATAGCTATACATGAGAACATGTGTACACATGACTAGGAAGCGATGTCGTGCATGTAGGGCAATATTCAGTTATTGAGTTCCATCCACAGAACACAACCATCTTGCTCCTCCCTGCTTAGCATGCGCACCGCAACACCTGACACCAATGTAAGGTAAAAGCAGGGCACTGTTACTACATGCAGATTCCCAGTCCTCCCAGTATAATAATGCTTTTGCCTAGCTACTAGCTACAGTAAGTTGAATTGCTGTGAGGAGACTGGGGAAGGTGTGTGGTAGCAACTCTCAAAATAGGACTCCTATCAAAAAGGAAAGAACAAATCCCATGCATTTAAGTGGCTCACAGACCTGATTCCACCTCGTAATACATACCACTGAGATGACATTTCTGGCAACTACTATTATAAAGCATCCTTCCTATAGAGCTCGTGAGAATATTAATACACTAACAAAATTTGTGTGGCAATTTTCTCTGGAGCTCACATAATCACCCCCTCCCCCGACATTCATCCCTAAAGCTCGATAATAAAGACCTTGTATATATACAATCAGTTTGTACTGTGACGTGCATCATAAGCGCAGTGTAAGAACAGAATGCAAAATGCAAATGTGGATACTTTTTAAACTTGTTGTAATGAACATGTGGTAGCCCAGGGGATCAGAGGTAATTCTGTATGTCAATGTTTGGCTCAGTCGACTGCTGCACATGTGCTCATGCACTTTGTGGTAGTGCAGTAGTATAGTAATGCACACTGGTGCACTTTGCAGTTTGTTGTCACCGCCCTTTGCTGTGTAGTAACACTTCAGCAGTCATGTGTACATACACAGCTTTTACACTAATGCACATGTGACTGTACATCATCACCGGTCTAAATGGATTGCATAACAGCTATATTCTCACTTCAACTGGAGCACATACCCTGCGCGTGATATTGTGTATTTTTACGTTCATTGTAGACTTATAGTGAAATGAGTTTGGGACTGTCATTTCGGCACATGCGCAGAAATCGCAATAGTCTGCATGTTTATTGATAGGCGTGTCCAAAAAACCAGCTTGACCGATGTCATTTGATAAAATGGAGGATCATGGACAAAAACTGGGAAGCAGGATCCAACGCATGATAATCTGATGTAGCTACACATAAACATGATTTTACCATCACTTCAAAAAAGATTAATGATCACAAATGATCACAGGCAATATGCATGCCATCTGCAGCTGTAGATGTAGATACGTGGGAAACTATAACTCTCTAAATTTCAAGCAGTCATAGAATCCGAAAGCTAAACAGACAAAATTAAGTAACCAAAAAGATAAGATGAAGCCTGGCAATTAGAGGACTGCACAGATGTATATTCCAGCTATACTCGCCTCGCACCATCCTTCCTTCACTACCATTTTCTTCACGTAATGTGTAGTCGACATATTCCAGACCTTCGTAAATCAAGATTATTTCAGAGTAGCACACGAGCATAAAAACACAGTTTAAATTTATAAAGGTTGTCATGAAGTTTTGAGTAATATGTCCATAAGCTTCATTGGTGTTGAGTTCAATGGGAGGTGTCTTCTCCAAGGGAATGTCCTCATAAACAGGAGGTATCTCAGTCTGGCCTCTCCTCCCCTTCCTATGACAGTGACCATGACATTGAGTCAGTAGAACACCAAGTAGCAGTCCAGCAGTGAAGCAACACACACCACACACTACTCCTGCTGTGGCCACTGCTTCTGCTGTACTCAGTTTTTCACTTGAATCAGTGTTGGTTTGATCTATATTTTGGGGCGAGATAGTCATAAAAAGAGGGAGCAGTACGTACATAGTTGCTTTAGTATACCTTCTGGTTTTTGTACACACATGACATCATCACTACTAGGCAGCCATGTTAGAGAAGGGAGAGAGCATGTGGCCACAGTCTCTCCCACCAGAACCAGGTGGGTGTCACAGGAGTAGGTGACCTGTGCTCCTACTCTGGAACTGGTCCACTCACCAACACTGCCATTCACTGGTGCACTGGGTGGACCACAGCCAGCTGAGGGAGAGAGCCAATGGAATAGTTTATCTCTTCACCAATGGGACAACTTGCCAACAAAGACTTCCTCGGTGACCTCTGCACTAGTGCCTGCACAGTTGATGGCTGAGACTCTGATTTCCAGAGGAATGTTGTACACTCCCTCTAAAACTACAGTTGTATTGGTAGTGGCGATGGACTGTGTAGTGGTGTTGGTCAGTATTCTGTACTCATCAACCACTTCATCTTCCCATGACTCCCACGAGATGATGATGGAGAAGTTGTCAGTTTTCACTGTCATGTTGTACGGAGAAGAAGGAGGACCTTTTGCAGTTGTAAAGAGATGTCATAGATACATAATTATATTATAAGCAGAGTTTACTTTTTTTACTGATGACTAGATGGTCTCCATTCATGAATACCAGACAAGATATGCTTGTTCCACTGACAATGCCATCCACCATCACCTCCACTGTAGAGGTAAGGTCAGCCAGGGAATTCATTCTGTTCTCTACAGCTACCAGAGCTAGACTGTAAGGACCATCATCAAGTACTCTGGTCTCTTCATTGTCATAGTCACTAGGGATGAATAAATGGATCTCTCTGTGGTCTCTCCACGTCATGGAGCCAACTCCATTGGCAGTACAGGTGAGGGTGACAGTGGTGGCAGGACAGACTGATATGATACCATCCTCAGATGATGGAGAGGAAGACAGGGAGAAACCTTGGACACCTACAAGGAAGCTGTTTAGCTAGCACACATGTCTGTAAGTACAAGAACCCTATGCAAGTGGTTGAAATTAAGGAGGCAAGAAGTTGAAATTATGACTTTCTTTCAAGCAAATTCAATCCCATTGGAGTGGAGGTGTGGTTTGAGCACTTTGGAACTACAGGCTAAAACACTGCGCAGACACATGAAGGTAGTGAGAGAAACAAAGAATGGAGAACAGTCTATGCCTACTGAAAGATGGAAAAGTGCAAGCAGGAGTCTGAAGTGCATCTCTATATGTTATAACCTGGATGAATGCAGCATACTTGTGGTAAGCGAGTATGTCCGGTTTTACGCATAGACATTACGGTACATACAGTTCGCCCCATGCTGCCTATTATGGTTATGGTAATAATATCACACAAATGTAGATAACTATAGGCAGTCCAGCTTATCGAGTGATGATGCAAAAGCTTTCTTTTCTATATAGGCTTATTCTTTATTGAGTGATTAAGGTAGAAATCAATTTTGACAAGTCACTTTTTGCTTTGCTATTGAGTTATACTCCAATCATTAAAAATAATACCTCCAGAGGAAACTATTGCAGCAAACGTGTACAGCCCCATCTAAATAAAGGAGTAATTACACACAGATGATAATAAGGACGTAAATCGCTTACCAGGATACCTTTTATACTCAACATAGCTACTTATGACCTCGATTTTTGTCGAGATACAAGCAACACAAATACACCCAAAATGATTAGTCAGCACTTTTCCTGACCTCCTGAACTCTATAGAGGATGGTGTGTTGGTGAGAGAGTTATGCATGTTACTCTAGGATAATAATTTACATGACAATGTTTTTGTAGGAAACTACAGTAACAATTTCTTGTTATGTAAACAGCAGAGCTTTTATGTTGTGAAAGGTGAAGTCAGTAATGACATGACAATCATCTTGAGATATGTCCATAAGCTTCATTGGTGTTGAGTTCAATGGGAGGTGTCTTCTCCAAGGGAATGTCCTCATAAACAGGAGGTATCTCAGTCTGGCCTCTCTTCCCCTTCCTATGACAGTGACCATGACATTGAATCAGTAGAACACCAAGTAGTGGTAGTCCTGTTTATGAGGACATTCCCTTGGAGAAGACACCTCCCACTGAACTCAACACCAATGAAGCTTACGGACATACTCATAACTAATTCAAAACCTTCATGACAACCTGTAGAAATACAAACTATGTTTTTTTCTAGTTTGCTACTCTGAAACATTTTTAATGTTGTAATGATTTATGAAGGCCTGGAATATGCCGACTACACATTGTGTGAAGAAAATGGTCGTGAAGGAAGGAAGACACCTCCCATTGAACTCAACACCAATGAAGCTTAAAAAATAATAAATTCTCTCTATTCATGTCTGTATTTCCCACACTCTTTCCTACTAACAACACTGACATTCCTGCTATTTCCTAGAATAACATGCTTGACTCTCTTGTCAACACATCTATGTAGGGAAGGAGTGGGTAAAATCTCATGTGATCTGAAACGTTAACGACAACATAGCCCTAAACCCACGGGCCCTTACCTAGCTACATGCCCAAACACTGTATTCGCAGCACTCATCCACGATGAATTCCTCAGCAAATATTCACGTCCTCAATAATTTTTTTCACTAGCTAAACCACCTTGCAAAGATGTAGGGATGGGGATGGGGTTATAATAAACTTCTGTCTAGGTGTAGGCATCTTATTTTTCTTGTTTCCCTACATCCCAGTCACGATTCATTGAAGATCTTCCGTCTCCTTCATCCTCGTAAATATGGCATAGACAACCTCTCCACGGTCATGCATCTCCTGGAGTTAGGTGGGGCCAGGGAAGATGCGGAACTCTCACCATGTGACTTCAAGGGTTAATCACTGATCTTAGTTTCTGCATAAATTTGCAGACAGACCTGTTGCTAGGCTGTTTTTTTATTACACTGTAAAAGGCTAATAATCTGAGTATGAGTAATGTAAGCAGTGAGCACTGGCACTGGCAATAGCACAGATAGTTGATGTCAACTTCTGCAGAGTGAGACAAGTTTATTGCATGGTGGATAGAACATGCGGCGTCTAATATATAGACTGTTCTACAATTTGTATATACTGTCTCAATGTCATGGTCACTGTCATAGGAAGGGGAAGAGAGGCCAGACTGAGATACCTCCTGTTTATGAGGGACATTCCCCTGGAGAAGACCCCTCCCATTGAACTCACACAAACATGTTAGTTTTGTACACAGTCTATTCCCAAAAACCGATAAGCAATCACAAAGAATAGCTAGAGAGCACACAGAGGATCAAGGAAGGTTCATTTGTTTGGAGTGATGTGTCCATAAGCAGGGTTGTGTTGTGTGGTGGTGGGTAGAGAGTGAGAGACTCCATAAGCCACGTTCTCACTGGTGTCTGGACCAGTGGGTGTCACCACATCACTCACTGTCTCATACACCACTGCTGGAGGTCGAGACTCACAAACAACACTGTGTGTGTGTTGAGGGAAGAAGTGTGATACAATAACAGTGTGAAAGTTACTGTAAACATGTATGTTTTGCCCTCTCTACAAGAAAAATGTAACCTTGGATTTACAAACAGGAACATATTCGCTAAGGCCAACATAATTATACACAGCACGAACTTGCTGCTTGAGACAATACCAAATTGCTCATGCAACTTCACTCTATGGGTATGATGGGTTCATGAAACATGTTGCAAATAGTCTGAAACATGTTGCCTGGACCCATCATACCTGTACATTGAAGTTCCATGTCTCACGCAACAAAGTTGTGTGGCCTTTTAAGCCATACACAGATTTTAGTGGCTCAAATGCAAGTGTGACAGGTGACAGAGCCTTATTAACTAACTGTGGTCTATCTGTTGAGTTGCAAGCTATGGCCTTGGGATGGATTCAAGAAAAAAAGAGTGTCATTCTCTGGCAAAGAGAAATCCCACTGACAATAATACGTAAATGAGTACAGTATGACATACAGACATACTTTGTTGCACTCAGCTCTGTGTCTCTGTTGGAGGTTCCTACAGGGTGCATAGTCACATCAAAACAATGTCAGCTTCATTATACCATACCTTTGGAAGCTCTCTTCCTCATGATAACCAACAACACAGTGACTGTCCCGACTATCCCGGAAATAAGTCCAACTACCACTCCTACAGCCACACCTACACCAACTCCAATTGCTGTGTACATGACATCTGAATCTGCAGTCGGTTTAACAGCCTCAGTCACACCTACATCACCTATTATGTACACAATCTCACATCACACTCTGTCACTCAATGACTTAGACTAACCAGGGGTTGGGGTTGGAGTTGTTTCACTTGCAGTTAGACATCTTTTTCTGTCAACAAGTATATGGAGTGGGGTCATTATCGACACTCTGCAACATACTAAGTCTTACGTGTAATGGTAGTGGTTTTGTTACAGACAGCACTAGAGAGTGTCACAGCAATTTCCACTGGTCCAGTCTCAGAGTAGTCTAATGTCAGTAGATGAGAGTCTTCAGAACTACCTCTCTCATAGTGCCTGGCTCCACTGCTGTGGACCCCACGCCAACTGATGGTTGTGTTCACCGGTTCCATGTTATGGACGTGGTTGCTCTGGAAAGAATTATTAAAAGTATGCGTCTCTACTTCTACATTCAGTAACCTTCCAGCCGACAGTGATGTGACCACATTCCTCTTCAACAGCTCTTACATTCTCTGGAATTGGCAAACCTGTTAAAGAGGGTGTTTTATTTAGCTAACAAATACGACTCAGATGCTTACAGCAGTCAGTGGCAATGTGTCCGTTGTAGATAAAACTATCATTGACACGAGTCACACCATGGACAGTGAAGTTATAGTCATTGACATTGCCATCCCCAAGATAAATACTACAGTTTATTTCACTACCATAACTGGTCACATTACACGAGACATTCCTCTCTCCACTGACAGCAGTGACCACATAATAGTCCACACATTCTCCACCATACACTGGAGACTGGAAACTGACCACAGCTGATGAGAAGTCACACACCACTGACAGACTAGTGGGAGGGGAGGCTGGACCTTTGCACACAATAATTATTTGATCACAGGAAAAATTTCAGACATAGCCAAAGTACGTACCTGCTATACATATTTTGGTAGTGTTAGTCAATCTCAGTCTACTCATTTGAACAACGTAAACACCCTCACAAGTGATGTCAGTCTCATTCAAATTCAAGTTGCTAACGTGTAGAACTGATGTATAGTTGTCTAGATTTCTTAGAAAACGTATTTGGAAGCCACCTTCCTCAGTATAAAGAGTGTCCTCATCGTTTATTGCAGACAATCCAGTCCTATTGATTGTAACCGTTCTCCATGCAACTCCTACTCCAGAGGTCACCTCGCATCTATAATCCTCCTTGGGGCACAGGCAGCGTTTTGATGGGAGTAGTAGCGGGAGGTTATCTGAAAACGTGAAGTCAGGGATGTGTATCATGTATCATTAGGCTAGCTTACCAGTCCCAGAGATGATAGGTACTGTGAGAACTGCCTGCGAAAAGAACACTACCCAAATATTGCAGCGGACCATCACTATTCTCCACGCTGAGAGCGAGCGTATCAAAGTTCAAAGTTCATTTTGCAGGACCCGAGGGGCATCGCATAATTATGCATACAGTCAAACAGTCCACCCGATTCGGCGTTCTACTAGGGTCTAACGGACGGCCGCCGCAGCCAGGTTTTTGAGTTTAACCCTCGCCTGCGCGCATGCGCAGCGAGGGTTATTGCAGTCGGTCTGTCTGTGTGTGTGTGTGTGTGTGTGTGTGTGTGTGTGTGTGTGTGTGTGTGTGTGTGTGTGTGTCCGTCCGTCCGTCCGTCTGTCCTCCGTTTTTCTCGGTAACCGCGGCAACTCTGAGCGTGAAACGTGGACATAATTATTACCAAGTAAGTGGCATGCATGGTAAAATAAGATTCTGGAGCGGAAAAGGCGGGGGGAAGCTGGTGAAACGGACGGCTGCCGAGGTGAGTGTGCGTCAAATAGAGATCGCGGACGATCGCTGTACTTGCTTTGCGCGTTTGGTGAAAATTTGCTGGTCTGCCTGTATTTATGGTACAGTTGAGTAGGATCGAGATTGCCGGTGAAGTGAGAGCAGCACACGCCCCAGTGAAGGAGTCACTGAGGTAGTGTAACTATATAGCCATTGGCTGCTGAAATAAAGTGTTGAGGGTCTGTCAAGTGCTTCTCACTTTGCTGTAGTAGTAACTAGTATTGAACACGCATGTGCAAAAGAATGTCGACAAAGTGATTGGGAATAAAGTGGCGAGGGTTATGCACTTTCAAGTGCTTTTTATTTTGTTTTTGAGTTACGTGAGTTCAATCTGAAGAAGGAGATAAGGAGAAGATGAACTAAACTCCCTATCATAGCCCCATACATCTATAATGCTAGGTACCATGCCCATCCCTAGTGACAGGTTGTCATAAAGGTTTTGAATAAGTTTTGAGTAATATGTCCATAAGCTTCATTGGTGATGAGTTCAATGGGGACTGCTACTTGGTGCTCTACTGACTCAATGTGATGGTCACTGTCATAGGAAGGGGAAGAGAGGCCAGACTGAGATACCTCCTGTTTATGAGGACATTCTCTTGGAGAAGACACCTCCCATTGAACTCAACACCAATGAGGCTTATGGACAGTGTAGTGTGTAGCTTCACTGCTGGACTGCTACTTGGTGTTCTACTGACTCAATGTCATGGTCACTGTCACAGGAAGGGGGGGAGAGGCCAGACTGAGATACCACCTGTTTATGAGGACATTCCCTTGAAGAAGACACCTCCCATTGAACTCACACAAACAATGTTTAGTTTGTACACAATCTATTCCAAAAACTGAAAAGCAATCACAAAGAATAGCTAATGGAGCACACAGGGGATCAAGGAAGGTTCATTTGTTTGGAGTGATGTGTCCATAAGCAGGGTTGTGTTGTGTGGTGGTGGGTAGAGAGTGAGAGAGACTCCATAAGCCACGTTCTCACTGGGTACTGGACCAGTGGGTGTCACCACATCACTCACTGTCTCATACACCACTGCTGGAGGTCG